TCTATCTATCTATCTATCTATCTATCTATCTATCGCAAAAGGTGCATAAAAATAGGTAGGTGGTTAAACAAAAGAAAGAAACTCAAACTGGCTTCACTCTAAAAAAATGCTGGGTTATTTCAACTAACTTTTGGACTAAACCAACAGCTGGGTTATTTTTTTAAGCCGAATGTTTGGGTTTTTCATATTTTATCCAATTTGGGTCGAACTAACAATACCTTTACTTGTTCCAACACTTTAGTGTTGAGTAAATGATGACAGAATAGTCTTTTTTAATTGAACTATCCTTTTACAGTAATAATGGTTGTATCCACACAGAAACAGGCGCATTCTCATGATGACCTGTGGAGTGCAGAGAAAGGGCACTCTCTAGTGGACAAACAGAAGTACTTGAAGAAACAGCCTGAAGTGAGCAAATGGATCAGTCTTGCAACTATCAGTCCAATAAACTCCAGTTTCTCCAGCATGGGACACAGAAATGAGCTGTGGAAAATCCCGACAGCTGCCCAGTCTGTGCCTCTGTCACAGCCGAAGCGTCTGGACGTCCCGTATTCACCACAAACCAACAAACCTTCATTCAGCACCTTCCGCCAGCCTGCAGACAGCAGAATTACATCCCAAACGCAGCATCTGTATCAATGCTTCGGTGCTTCAGCGTCTCAGAGCAAGGTATTTATATTAGTTTTGAAGATTTAATTTCAATATTATCTTTTTAAAGGTCCCATGAAATTAAAATAAAGTTTTTTAGATGTTAGTATTGTTTGTTTTTAGGATACCTACAAGCTAAAACAGTGGCAAAAAGCATGTTTGTCACTTCCGCATAAATGGATCAATGTAGGGCTGGGCGATATAGCGAAAAAAAATAAATAAATCACGATATCATGTTTCATATCATTCGATATCGATAATTATCGAATATTTATAGCAATACATTAAGAATATTAGTTTTTTTAACCACTTTATTTGTGTTTACCAACATCAATCAGGCCTTTATTTGTCACATACACTTTCATATAGTGAAATTTAACCCCCCGACCATACACAAACATCACAATTTTCAGGGGAAGACATTTAGAAAAAGGAAGTAAGATACATTTCAGGAGAGGGAGGCGAAGAAAAACTCCCTCTCACCTTGCTCTTGAATTATGGCAGTGTAAGAGCAGGGAGAAAAAAAGTCCCAGGAGTCAAGCACATGAACACACAGACAAGACATAACATCGCAACAGGGGATGTGGATATAGTGCGATGAGGGCGGGCAGCCATCCGGTCCTGCAGCTAAAAAGCGCTGGTCACAGACCCGCCTACCCCCTCCAGTGGGTGAAAGCACACAAAGGTGTGAGATGAGGGGCTAGGTGTTGATTGTCTATCTGTAGCTGTGTATGTGTGAGCCTGTAGAGTCCAACAGGTGTCCTTGAAAAGGAGCAGGAATTTCAGAGCGTCTCCTTATCTTGCTATCCTGGAGAAGTTGTTTTTCTCCAGCCGAGGCCGTCTGGAAGGAGAAGAAAAACAGGGAAGCCGAAAGAGTAGAAAAATACTTCAACTTTAGGTCAATATCTGCCAATTTCACAGATATTTAATGTCACTCGTCTCCAGATCTGGCGAAATCTTGTTGCAAAGCCGTTAGTTTCACCCCGATGTCTTCCAATCTAATATTGCAGTCTGATCATTAGCTAGCCTGCCCATCAGCGTTTCAATCAAGTCGGCCAGCCTGGTGGGGTTTTGAGCAGCACTGACCGCTTTCATCAATCATCGATACCCCAGGGCCCCGCATAAGCCCATCAGCAAAAACCCTGTTATTAAAGTACCGAATAGGTAGATATCTTCAATATCCTCCAGAGACAGAGCAGCCAGGCACACGACAGTCCACTTCTCCCACCCGTCCATCACGTATCCAGCTGCAAACGTTCCTACAGGACAAGTGGGCTCTCCCGAGCCCAAACTTCTCGTCGAGAGACCAGTTGATCAAATCCATAATTCCTTATTCGTTTGGATAGCAGGGCACGGAGAGCCTCAGAGATAGAATAAGACGAAGACAAGAGCAGCCAGAAAGGAGAGATATGGGACGGAGAGGGAAGAAGTGCGACCGCCTTCACCAAGAGCCAAAGAAAGAACTAAGACAAATAGATTTATTAGACAAAAACAAAAATACTTAAACAAAATATCTGATCTTTATGATAAAATAAACATCAGTGTTTTTTTTTTTTTTTTTAAGATTTATTTTTGACCTTTTTGCCTTTATTATTAGATAGGACAGTATCGAGACAGGAAGCGAAGTGGGAGAGAGAGAGAGGGGGCAGGGTAGGGCAATGTCGTCAAGCCGGGATTCGAACTCGCGATGCCCTGACGTGCCGCCACACCACACGTCAGCGCGCCAACCACCAGGCCATTGCGCCGACAACATCAGTGTTAAAGAGATTCTTAAACTCGATAAATAAAATATTACAAAGTGTGTGCAATGGGAAAGGTAGATCAACATCTGTAAGATGTGAATAATAATGATACAGTAAACCTCAAACTCTGTCAACAAAACAAATTATAATAATCAAATCTGAGCTTTCAAGTAAAGAAAATAACCATCATTATTCAAATCCATCAGAGGGGGAAAGCCCAGCCCTTTAGTGACAATCTTCCTCATCCGTCAGAAAATAAATAAATGAGACTAAGGCTACGTTCACACTGCCAGGCTTAGTGCTCACATCAGATTTTTTTCTCAAATCTGATTTTTTTGCCTCTTATAAATGTGGCCAATATCAGATTAGTGACCAGATCATGGTCCTAAACTAACCCGCATGCGCAAAAGTACAGATACGGAGAGCACAAAATGTCTAATTATGCACACGTGATAATGTATGAAGTAAGCATGTTGTCAGATCATGCTTATATGATTATTGCCCTTTTCACAACCGGGGTGTGTTTCATGAACTGTAAAGGATTGTTCTGCTACTTGAAATCTAAAATAAGTCACCTGTGATTAAAAACACTTATTATTTGTGATTTATGACAACCGCGGTGTGTGTTTGACCACCGGTGTAGTGAACTCATCAAGGGTTAATGAGCAGCCATAGATTGAACTGTGAAGGCGGAGTTGGTTTATCTCCGTTTGCAGAGTCATTTCATTTTACTTCGTTATAAACAGCAGACACATGCAGAAGTGGATTTAGGTGCTTGAGCACCTGTCCTTTTTTAATAATAATAATAATAATAATAATAATATTTATTATTATTATTATTATTATAATTCCTTACATTTATATAGCTCTTTTCTGGGCACTCAGATCTGTGTCTGATTTAAGACTACATATGAAAGTGGCACAGATCTGACTGGAAAAGATCAGATTTCATGCAGTTTGGGCTCTTTACACTATCATTATCTAATGCAGAGTTCAGACTGCATGATTTTCAAAGTAGTCGTGTCACAGATGTTTTCACACTGCATGACTATCTGGGCTAGCGTTTCGTCGCTGCTTTGTTTACACTGCAAGATAGATCGGCGACATGGACTTTCACATTGCATGACTTTACTATAGGAAGAATCGCCGACAACTTCGTCCAAACTACGTCTCACAGCCAAAAACAAGTTGTATATCTTTTGTTATTAACTACACAATGAGAAAGAAGCCTTTAATGGGGTAGAACATGTGCATGTTTGCTCACCTGGGTTTAAAGGGAATTAGCCATTTCTCCTCAACGTTGATAATAAACTAATTTCTTTCTGTATGAACCGTCAAACAGACACGGTTGCTCCTGAGTCCTGTCAAACCTCCACTAGTTTTTCCTCCATTGCATGCGTCCAAATAAACCGAAAAAGAGCGCTTTTAATTTCTCCCCCAGCCTCCCGCTGGCCTGCAGCAGGTATACGCACACGCACACGCAAGTGAATGCCGCTCTCTCATTGGCTGTAGGCGATCGCTGATGTTATATTCTAAAACTAATTTCAAACAGCATGATTTGAATCGCCCAGCTCCATATATTTAGCATGCCAAATATCTCGCAGGCATCGGCGACTCATCGGCGATTCTCTCAGATTGCGTCTTTGATAGTTCATACTGCGTGATTGTTACTCACGAGCATTTGCACGAGCACCGATTTGCCTGTGATTTCAGGCATTTGTCGGCGATTTCTCATAACCTGTCAGCGAGCCAAAATCGGGGCTAAAATCACGCAGTCTGAACTACGCATAAGTCACATGTGGGCAAAAAAATCAGATTCGGGCCACATTTGGCTGCAGTGTAAACATAGCCTTATTGTGCTTTTATCACTCCAATATGACTGTGGACACACTATACCTACACACACTTATGACCAAACAGCTTACAAAAGATGATTTTCATCATAGGTGTCCTATAAATCTGGAAATGATTCATATTTTTTGCTAATTATTGTCTTAATTCAGTAAGTTTTTCAGTGCCTGTTGCTAGTTTTTAGTTTTAGTTTACTAATTTATTGAGCTTTTTTTTTTTTTTTAAGTTAACGAAAATGTATTTTAAATGTAGTAAATGTAGTAGTTTTAGTATTCACTCACTAAAATAAGTTTGTCTCAGAGTCAGGTACTCAAGAAAAAAACAGTCGCCTTCCAGCCCATGTTGAAGCCACCCTCACAGTGTTTAAGTGTTAATAATCCTGAGCAGAAGGTAAAGCTGCTGACCTCTGAGCTGCTGGAAAAGGAAGTGCAGCATCTACAGGCTAAAGTGCAGCTCAGTCTGGAGGAAAGCGAGCGTCTGCACAGACTCTCTCTAGAGCTGCAGTTTCAGAGGAGAATCCAGGACTTCCAGCAGATCACTGATGAAGATGAAGATGAGGAGAGCCATGCTGTAGTAGGACGCAACAGCTTTCAGACAGGAAGTGATGCTGTGGTGAGTTGACTCTTCTAAAGGATAAAAATGTGTATGGAGATATTGAATAAACATGCTGCGTTTATACTACTGTTATGTTGCGGATGTTTTCATCCACTCTTCGGTGATTTTGAGCCTTTATTTGGCCACAACTGTCTCTTGTGTTTCAACAAATGGAATACATTTTTGTGGCAACTCTTATTTTCATACATATTTTGGGAAAATGCTTTGCGATCTCAACAATACACAATGGGTATATGTATTAAAGGAAATGTATTAGGGAAAATCATTCTTATTCGACAATTTTATCTTCTTCTTCTTCTTTGGCCTTAGTCCTGTATGGTTGCGGGGTCGGCTCTTTTTGGAACAAGTCCTCCATTTTTTTTTTTAGACTTGTCCATATGCTTTTTAAAAGTAAAAGCAATGGGTTTTAATAAAATGACATGTAAATGGATAAAATCTTACCTTGAAAACAGAAGTCGAATAGTAGATTTAAAAGGAGTGTTATCAGATCATTTGCCCGTCGCTTATGAGGTTCCACAAGGCTCTGTTTTAGGTCCGTTGCTTTTTTAAATATACATTAATGATTTTAAAGTGGCTTGTTCAAATAAGCTTTTGTTATATGCGGATGATGCAACAATAATAGTGTCTCACGATAGAAGGGAATTTATTGAAAACGAAATAAGTAAACAAATTGAGGAATTCTTTAAATGGTTTTGCCTTAATACATTGTCCTTACATTTGGGTAAAACTGAATTCATTTTATTTGGTTCAGCTGCGAAACTAAGAAAATGTGTAGGGTCAGAGATAAAAGTAGGGGATAAAATTATTACTCCAAAACAGGACGTGAAATATTTAGGTTGCATTTTAGATATTAATTTGACAGGTGAAAAGATGGCTGTTATAGTCCATTCAAAATTAGTTTTTAGCAAGACAGGCTGAGCTCCTAGATACCCAAACTTTAAAAATATTGGCTAGTGCATTAAGCACATTTATCCATGAACTCATTTTTTATTAATATAATTTTAGCGTAATTGTGAGAAGACTGGACCTCCCGCAGACCAGCAAAATGAAGGCTTTTCTGATAAGCACAGGCTGGAAGGTACAGTAGACCAGATTCAATCACTGATCATTATTAGTTTAGACTTGAAAAGTTTTTCTAAAATTGATTTATGTACCTGCAGATGGAGCATGTACAGGAAACCAACAAAAGTTCACATCTGAGTGAGTGCATCGATTCTCTTTCATTTTCACCGTCTAACACAATATAGCTGATAGGTTTATATATGAAGAGTTTATTTGCATTTTTTTTTGCAGATGATTTTTGGCAGTACTCTTTAATTCATAATATAAATAAGAAAATTACTTTAAAACAACCGGTTTTACTTGTAATAAATCATGTTTTAGGTATTCCACAACACAAAAACTGTAAAAAAAAAAATAAATAAAATCTAAAACAAAAATAAAATGAAATAGTTAAATGTATTTTTAAAAATATAAATTAAAAAATAAAGTATTTAAATAAACTCTAAAATTGTTGAACCATTTTGCATCTCCAAGATAAACCTACACACCAAAATCCTAAAATGTACTCAGTTTAGATAGTTATGCTTAACAGCAGAAAAATGAGAGAGAGATTTGTTGAGAAATTGTTATAACTTTTCTTAAAAGTCAAGTTTACATACAATAAGATTATTCTGCCTCTGAAAAAGCTCAGATGATGGTGTCAAGCTTTTGGAAGTTTCCAATTGGCTAATTGACAACATTTGAGTTCATTGGAGGCACAACTGTAGAATAGTATTTAAGGAAACCTCAAACACACTGCTTCCTTGTGTGACAACATGGGGAAATCAACAAGCCAAAATCACCAAAAAAGCCAGATTACAATTAGCTAAATTACTTTGGGATAAAGAATATTTGTTGAAGACATGTCCTGTGGTCTGATGGAACTAAGATTGAACTGTTTGGTCATAATGACCAGTGTTACATTTGGAGGACAACGGGGAAAGCTTACAAGCCTAGGAACACCATCCCGACTGTGAAGTATGGGGACGGCAGCATCATGTTGTGGGGCTGTTTTTCTGCAGGAGGGACTGGTCCACTTCACAGCATAGATGGCATCATGAAGAAAGAACATTATGTAGAAATACTGAAGCAACATCTCAAGCCATCAGCCAGGAAATTAAAACTAAAATGGGTCTTCCAAACAGACCATGACCCTAAGCATACTGCCAAACTAGTTAATGTGCTTTAAGGACAACAGAGTGAATGTTTTGGAGTGGCCATCACAAAGCCCTGATCTCAATCCTGTAGAAAATTTGTGGGCAGAGTTTAAAACGCTTGTGCGAGCAAGACAGAAAACAAATCTGACTCAGTTACACCAATTTTGTCAGGAGGAATGGGCCAAAATGCCTTCTAACTATTGTGAGAAGCTTGTGGAAGGATACCCAAAACATTTGACAGTTTAAAAGCAAAGCTAAAAAAATACCAAGGACATGTATGTAACTGTCAAGTTTTTGACTGTCTAGAAATTAATAAAAAATTCTCAAAAAAAAAAAAATAATCTCATTATTCTGGAATTTAGCAAATGTAAATGATTTAGGTAATCCTAACAGACCTAAAATAGTAAACGTTTAGTATGATTTACCATCAGACATTTTTTTTAAATGGTTATGTTCTTTTTTTTAGAGTGTATCTAAATTCTAGTTTCAACTGTATATGTATTTTTAGATTGATTAGTTTTTACTTAATAAGTTTCTTTTTTTTACTAGTTTACTTAGTTTAAAGACTAAAGCAGTGATGAATAATGAAGCACTTATTAGATTAGCAAATCAATCAATCAGTCATTAATAACTATAACTGTCATTTATAAAAAAATTAATCTGACATCCCAGTAATGATCATCAAGACATTTTTACAGTATTTAAATCATCTTTGTTAACATTAACTAATAAGAATAATACCTGTTTGTTGTTTGTTTGTGTCAGCTCTGTCTAATAAGTAATTTAAACAGATTTTAAATAATCTGTTTATTTTGATTCAATGCTTTAGAATTAGTATACGGTGACTAATATAGTTTAACATTAACACTTGATTTGTGATAAACACTAATACAAGTACTATTACTTTCAGACAACTTCAAACTCTGGTCATTTAGAAAGCCCTGTAATGTTACATTGTAATCAGACTTTTTTTGAATGATTTTACAGTGAAGTAAATCCCAAAGGTTTTCAAACACGACGGGCCCCAGAAAACCTGACATTTAAGGAGCGTCAGCGGCTGTTTTCCTTGCCAGTGGTCACTTCAGGAAATGTCAAAGTGTCATGAGGAAATTAAATGAAAATGCAAATCAGCTAGATTTGTTTTTTGGTATGCTACTTGTCCATTAATTTTGTTAGAGACTGTAAATATTTTAATTGTTGATTTGTTTTCACACACATGTTTGTAGTAAAATTGTATAGACATTAAAGGGCACCTATTTTGCTTCTTTTTACAAGATAAAAGAAGTATCTAATGTCCCTAGAGTGTGTATGTGAAGTTTCAGCTCAAAATATCCCACAGGTAATGTTTTATATCTGACCCTTTTAGGTTTTGATCCTAATTGTGCTGTTTTGGTGACTGTCGCTTTAAATTCAAATGAGACTGGGCTCTTTTAAAAAGAGGGTGGAGCTACAAATTCTTGTGTGTCAGCATAGTGGCAGATTCAAAAACAAGACTAAAATGCTATGATAATGAGGGACAGATGGTCACTAGTGGGCGGTGCTTTCTCCCTCTGATGACATGTACAAAGGGAGAATGTCAGTGTTTTTGCGGACTGTTTTATCAAGTGTGATTATAAAAAAATTTAAGAATTTTTTTTTTTTTACCATTAAAAGCTGGTTATATTCACACACTGCCACAACACAACTTTAAACACCTTATAAGCATGAATTTTGCATAATAGGTCCCCTTTAATTGTAAAACCTAGAAAAACTAGACCATTTTTTCGATAAATAAAGGATATTATATTTAGTTTTTATGTTTCGCACAGATATAGTGTCATAGAAATATGTTAATAATAGAAATAGCAGTGGCTTTATCCTGTAAAGCCTTTAGATTTGTCAAAATAAATGCATGCATTGGAAATAAATAAGTCTTTATTGCTTACATTATATCATTCATGTACATCTGCATCACAAAAATAAATGATTTTAAATCTTCTTGTTTCACACTTTGTTTTGCTGATAAAACTGCACAATCATTTGTTCCTGCTCTCTGGTTTCGATGGACCCTCGGCGGATTCGTCTTATTTCATTAATAGCATCGATTCCGCTGATTTTCCTGCTCTTCACCAGGTAGCAGGCAAGCATCGTCCCCGTACGTCCAAAACCATGCAAACAGTGCACCGCGACAGCCTGACAATGTTAAAAATTGACAAGAGATGTTTAAAAGTCTATTCACAGCAAGCACGATAACCATAAAGAAATCAATCTAACATGCAAAACAACAGAGTTCAGAACACAACTATGATGAGAAACGGCTTCGTCCCTTTATTAATCAGAATAAGAAATTTTTTTTATTTAATAACTGGTAGCCCTTCACACTCATCGGTACCCAAGAAGTAGCTCTCAGTTTCCAAAAGGTTGGTGACCCCTGGTCTAGCGGTTCAAACGAAGTCGCAACTTATTTGCGAATTGTTTCTGGTCATTACTGGAGTAGAGATGTGCTTTGGCTGCGCGGATGAATACGACGAAACTCTTCTAACAGGTAATGTTGGTTTTATATTCGTTCAGTGACAACTTGTGACATGCTCCTAATATTATTTATCATGGTACTTTGAATATTAGGTAAAAAAAAAAAACTTTGAATATTAGGTTTGAAATCACGTGTAAGTTCAAAACAACATTAGCACTATTTAATGGACTAAATCATGTTAAAGCACACTGATATTCATTGGCTCCTAAAATGATTTCACAGTTTACAGTTTAGAATTTATAATAATAATAAGCATGTCCGAATGTGTGAATATAAAACCAACTTTAAATAAAATAATTGCGGATTGTTTTAGTCATTGCTAGAGTTGTACTTCGGCTCCGCGGATGAATACGACAAAACTCATCCAACAACGAAAGGATGAATGTTTGAGCAGGTAAGCAGATAAAATTGTGTTTATGATGTGAATTTGGTTAAGTAGGGTTTTATGTCGCTGGTGAAATGTTGTTTTACAACGTCAACATTCACGTTAAACACGGTGTCACTAACAGTTATACATATTATTTGCGGATTGTTTCTGGTCATTACTGGAGTAGAGATGTGCTTTGGCTCCGCGGATGAATAAGATGAAACTCTTCTAACAGCTAATGTTACTTTTATATTCGCACATTTGTTCAGTGACAACTTGTTACATGCTCCCAATATTATTTACTATGGTACTTGGAACATTGGGTCTGAAATCACATGCAAGTATGACTGCAAAACAACATAAGCACTATTTAATTGACTGAGCAAAGTTGTTCTTTGATAGTCATTGGCTGCTAAATTGATTTCACTATTTAAAATGTGCAAAGAATCATTTTCTGAAATTATATTAATAATGAGAAAGTCCGAATGTGTGAATATAAAGCCAACTTTAAATCATTTGCAGATTGTTTTGGTCATTACTGGAGTAGAGTTGTGCTTCGGGTCCGCGGATGAATATGATGAAACTTCCAAGTAGCAGCAGATTAACTTGGGTTTATGATGTGAATGTAGTAAGGTAGGTTATGTTGCTGTTGAAATGTTGTTTTATAATGTTTGTCAACAATAACGCTAAACATATCGCTATTCAGATGTAATATTATATCATATTTGGTATAAACGGAGGTTAAATATTCGCGAATAAATGATAAAAGTAACGTTAACTTATTTCGGTTTCCCGTGAAATCCGGCCCGATTAACGTTAACTGTTACCCTATTAATGTAAAGTTGGCTTTATAAGTGCACATTCGTTCAGTAACAACTTGTGACATGCTCCCAATGTTATTTACCATGGTACTTTGAATATTAGGTCTGAAATCGCGTGTAACTTCAAAACAACAATAGCACAATTTAACTGACTGAACAATGTTCAGGCACATTTTGATATTCATTGGCTGCTAAAATGATTTCACTGTCCAGAATTTGCAAATCTTTTTCTGAAATTATATTATTAATAAGCATGTTCGAATGTGTGAATATAAAACTAACTTTGCGTAAATTACTCGCGGATTGTTTTAGTCATTACTAGAGTAGAGTTGTGCTTCGGCTCCGCGGATGAATATGACAAAACTCATCCATCCAACGAAAGGATGGATGTTTGAGCAGGTAAGCAGATAAAATTGTGTTTATGATGTGAATTTGGTTAAGAAGGTTTTATGTTGCTGGTGAAATGTTGTTTTACAACGTCAACATTCACGTTAAACATGATGTCACTAACAGTTTACATATTTAATCAAACTAAAAACGGAGGTGAACTACAGCTAAACTCGAACAAACGATACGATTTCCCGGGAAATCCGACTCGACAACTCAACTATAAATCGGTTTTATTGTTTATTAAGACACACACTTTGTGTAAATAAGTTTTAATGTGTTTGTTTGTTTATTTCCATTTCTGAAAAAAAAAATTGTGTCTTGCAACTACACTGTATACCTGTCCGCTGGCATTGGCCTCCTCCACTATGGTCAGGAATCTGTTGATCTGCTCAAATGTAGGCGGACAGAAGTCGATTATCTTGATGTGGTGGAGGGTGAGGTCTGGACAGGTGTCGTGGTCAGGTGGTTTTCGCTCGGTCAGGGTCACCAGGTGTTTGATCCCGTTATTCAGCAGGTACTGATAGTGCGCCGTCATCCGCGGCATCGCCAGACCGGCCACTTTACCGGGGTCCACCCAGGAGAAGTTTGGAGGTTGAGCCGAAGCCATGGGTTTCTCTGTGGTCGTGACACTGTAAGTGACATTAAAACTTTGTTTTCCACAAAATAAAGCCCACTTTTGCCCATATTTACAGACGCTTAAGCATGACGTTCTGAGGATGAATGGATGTTTGCGACAGTCATTGCTAGCTGAAACTAAAGTCATAACACAACAGAGTTCAACGCTAAGGATTTTTTCTACTGGTCCGATCCGGCCAATGGTTTAGATTTTTACTTGCCCTGCCAAAATGTTCACTGGCCCAAAAAAAGGCAGGTTAATAGTTATTTTTTTAGCTACATATTTTAAATAATGTGTCAAAAATAAATCTGCAAATCTAGAATTTCAATAGTTAAAGTGTTTTAATAAATGCATAATGAGCAAAATTCAGTGTTATGCAAACAAAAAGTGCAGGATGGAAAATGTGGAGGTATGTTATTTCAGTTCAAAATTATTTATTAAAAGGTGGCTGACTGGCATATTGTGCAAAAAAAATTTTTTTTTTGCTTTTTTCCGTTGTGTTCCCATGTAAATTTCTGCTTCCAAGACATTATAAACAGACATTTTATTTTAGCCTCATAATTTGATGTTGCCTCCATGTTGCCGCCTCTTCGCTGTACTGGTTGTTACCAGTATACAGAAAAAAATAGCGTGCTCAAACATCAAATCAGATAAGAGGATCTGAAAAGCAATATGAGGTTTATGACATCACAAAGAAGGCAGACTTTTAAGACTAAAAAGCACAAGCTTAAAATGCACACAATTGACAAATAGTCGAAGGCAAATGAAACTTTAGTGACAAGGCGGCACTGTCTCAATCAGGCCAGTAATAATGCTGTCTACTGTCCCAAGCATCTCTCACACTGGCCCCGGGCCATAGGGCAGTCCTTATTGTTGAGCCCTGCACAAGCTAGTTTAGGTAGTTTCCAAAGCAACATTTGTTTTTATTCATTTAGTACTCATACTAAAATACGGTGAATTATTATAATAAGCTGAGGTTAAATAAAGGTTAAAAATGGCAAAGTTCTGCAACAACAAAATTCTAATAAAATAAAGCTAATTGAAATATTTTCATATAAATGTCTATATAGAGTAGTCAACATTTAAGGTGAATCAAAAAAGTTTATCAATTTTCTTAAGACAAGAATAAGTGTTAATAGTTAACTTGAAACAAAATCACAAGTAAACAAGGTAGTTTCCAAAGCACCATTTTTTGTTTAAGTACTAAAAATAAATAAAAGGTTATTAAATGCTATTTAAGGTTTCAGCTAGCTAATGCTAGTTGAAATATTTTCATTAAAATGTCAAAATAGTTAAAATATAACATGATAAAGTATATTAAAATATGAATAAATGGCAACAACTAGCATGACTATATAATGAAATGGTACTTTAGGAACTTAAATATTACATATTAAATATTACTATTTACTTTTTTGGCAATACCTTACATTGTATTATTATTGCAATCACAAACACAATGCTTATTATATTATGTTTGTGTTTGTATGTGTATAGACTGTATATAGATTAGTCAGTACTGAAGCCAAATCTGAAGCTAATTTAACGAACTAACTTAAGATCGCAGTCCAAAAACTAGTACAGCCAAATTTATGTTATAGAAAATATTAAATACACATTTTTAAAAGAAAATTCGTAAGAAAATATCAAGAGAAGCAAAAGAATTTAAAGGTTTAGTTTAACTTTTTTGCCATATATTGCTTGAATTTAATTGTATTATCTTTAATTTTCTAAATGTTTGGTGACTAAAATGTTAATTTAATAAATATATTTTTAATAAATCTGTTTTGTGTATGTGTATAAATATTAGGCATGGGACAATAACTGGTTTAAAGGTTTACTGCGGTTTGGAAATGTCAAGGTATTAAAACCGCAAAAATGTTTTGTTATACCGTTTCAAAGGTGTATGTAGAGGGTTTTTAAAGTGTTTTTAATTCATGTCTTGTAGGGAAATCTGTGTTTTTGAACCTAATGAAGATACTAAAACTCAATGGTTTGTTTTAATTATGTAGCCTGAAATATTTAGTGTTCCAAAATATTATAAATGTTTCCTAAAATGTAATATATTGTGTTTAATGGGGGAAAAGTTTTTTTTTAATTTATTTTTTATTAAGACATTTAAAAAGAAGGTATTTTACAGCAGTAAACACGATACCAAGAAACCGTGATATTTTTATCCAAGGTTATCATACCGTCAGAAACTTGTAGCGGCCCATGCCTTGTGTGTGTGTGTGTGTGTGTGTGTGTTTGTGTGCGCGTATATTCAGTACTCGGCATATACAAGTTCACCCCTCAGAAATCTACCTTTTAAATTCATATTTTTAATAGAAAGCTCTATAATATTATATATGTGCATATACATTAGTCAGTACTGAAGCCAAATCTGAAGCTTATCTAACTAAATAACCTATGATAATCATCCAAAAACTAGTACACCAAAATTTATATGTTATAGAAAATATAAAATTAAAATTGAAAATAGAGGCAAATCAGGAGAAGCAAAACAATGAAAAAATTTAGTTGAAATTTTTAGGTTGTACTTTTTTTGCAATATTTTGCTTGAATTTAAATGTATTATCTTTCAATTATCAGATATGTTTGGTGACTAAAATATTAGTTTAATAAATGTATCTGTTTATTAAATCTGTTTTGCCTATATTCACTGAGAAATGGATAAAAATATAAATATTAAAAGTGGGGTATACTCCATTATGCTGAGCACTATATATATTGAGGATTTAAAATGAGGGTAGTTTAATCTCGTATCTTATTGCAAACACAGATCATTTACTCTGTATCTTGTCTATATCAGAGTTGACACTGTCCAAAGTATTAGGTTGTATAGTCCTATTTCATAATGCAATCTTAAATATTATTGCAACCAGAAGTGTGTGTACTTGCACTACATACAGTATTTTATATGTATTGTATCATTACACTTAATAAATTATGTATAATACTGCAGTCACAAGCACAAACGCGTTGTATTTGATAGAAACAGGAGTTATTTTGTCTGTACCTCGTCTATTTCTGTGTTGACTCTGCGTGCTCCATATATCCGCATTAAAACGGTTCTGTCTGGACACCTTGATAACCACACACTGCTTCTTATCTTCACACGTACGTTAATCTATACATTTATATTTTTGCGCTTAAAATGTCAGCTAATAATGGACTTGAATGCGGAAGAACGGAACATGCTGTTCAATCGTAGCAGCTGTCGAGTTTGAGCATTGGGAGGCACTAAAATAATCAGTGCTGTGCTAGCAGTTTTATTCCTGCAGGTGGCGCGCAAAGGCCACAAAAGGCGTATCCTCCATTAAAAACGCATGACAGCTAGGTGTTTCGGTTTGCTCCTAAACTATTTCTTAAAATCAATTTAACATGTTTATAATTGATCATTTAAGTATAAAAATGTAACGATAATGTCAAAATAGACTCATCTGTAATCACCAGACTAATCTGATTGGTCCATTTAGCGCAGCGCTGACTAAAGTAACAGTGACCACGTGCTTTGGCTAAACTTGACCAGCGGTTTGGATAATATGTACGCCTCAAATACATACGATGCATTGATGCAATAGTCGTTATGTTAGTACTAAACATTGACGATTTAATGTATAATAAAAACATCACCTTGAGTGAAGTGCTTAATGCTTATCTTAGTTTTTTTTTTTTTTTTTTTTTTTTAGATTTGATTCAACTGTTGATTCAACCAATCATACACATGTACAAGGCAACTAGATGCAGTTTAGGTCTAATCAGAAATGCAATAGCAGCAAGGATATAGTGAAAGATATAGTTATTATTTATAAAGTCCAATTATAGAAAAACTGTAGGTAATATGGATGTACTATGAACATTACATACAGGTTGTATTAACTATGAACAGAAATGTAAAGCAAGGCAAGTCTGTATAGCACATTTCATACACAATGGTAATTCAAATACAATGATGAACATATGTACAGGTATGTTATTACTAATATAGATATGTGATAGATATGAACAACTGTTTCTGTGGTTTAGCACTTTGTCCTGTGGAACTGCAAAGGTTTTCTTTCTGGAAAGGTTGTAGCATTCACACAGTGTACAAAAATACAATATATGTGCTTATTATCTATTATATGTGCTGAATTTGCTCAATAATGACATAATGCATTGCAAGCACTGACTGTATAAAATAAAGCTAGCATGCGGTTAGCATGTAGCACGTCAGGATGGCCGAGCGGTCTAAGGCGCTGCGTTCAGGTCGCAGTCTCCCCTGGAGGCGTGGGTTCGAATCCCACTTCTGACAAGTACATTGTTTTTGACCATTTAACTCGACTATATTGCTCATATTTACAATCTGCACTCATAGTTTGTACATTTTTGTAGCTCAGCTTAGCTATCAAGTGATTTAGACTTGCTATTTTAGGAGCAGTCATGGAAATTTTAATAAACAATATATATTAGTAGTCTAAGACAGTATAGTTATGTGGTTTATAGACTTTTATAATCTTTTATATAGGCTAGTAATCAGTTTTTGTTCTCAACCTTTTAATATGGTGTCATAGATTGCAAATTCTGACCTTTTACAATCAGACTAAAATATTCAGTTGTTGTGTTGTCGCCAGAGGTGGACTTACAGTGTGTTCACACCGAAGGCTTAAGGTCAAAGTCGCTCTGGCCGTCCTGGCGACAACGCTGTCTGTCTTGAGCTCTGGCGGCGAGATTGTCAAGATATTCTACATTGATCTCAAGTTTACATTGATTTCAAAAAAGGGGGCGTTGCAGCATATCATGGCTGTTACATTTCCGCATATTTGGCTTGGGAAGAACTGTAGTCGGACTAAAGTTCACAAGACTGGAGTCCTCTCAAGCAGTAGACTTTTACATTCTGATTGATGATATGACAAATTGTGAACGTAATTATTGAGAAACCTGGTGTTTTATTTACAACTAAATGTGATAAAATACAGAGAATACACAATCAGACATCAGATGCTGATAAATAAGCATGTTGTATAGTTTTTTTAGACCAAGAAATGTGCCTTGTAGGGCTGTGCGATATAGCAAAAATCTCACATCATGATACAATAAGTCATCTCATAACCTGATAAGCTGTGTTGGGCAGTAACACTTGCTTCAAGTAGGGACGATACTAGTTTAACTACATTTCTTAGTAGCCTGGCGGTAGTGAAGCTACTTTCTAAATCAGATTATTCTGTAGCGAAGCAATTTTTTTAGTCAAGTACTACTGCATTATGTAGTGTAATTCATAAATATTTATATATACTTATTCCTCAACATTTTCCTCTACTATAAATTACTATAGTATTTTAAATGTGTAACAGCTGGTTTTATTGGATGTTTTGGTTTTGCTCTCATGCTGTGTTTCTGTTTGGAACAGCATATTATGTGCAGTAAATAATGAACTGTACAATTATGTCTTATGTTTCATTGACAGTTTTATTGATCACAAACATAAGACTGACTTGGATTTAAGTTGCTTTGATTTAAAAATGAAAATTGCAAAAATAGCTAAGATGTAGCTACGCTGCTATTGCTAAGTAGCTTTTAGCTTAGCTTGCTACATTTCATAGTAGGTAACTTTTAGCGTAGTTAAGCTACTTTTAAGTAGAGTAGCTAATACCTTAGCTCACTACTTTTTTTAAAGTAGCTTGCCCAACACTGCTGATAACAATATTTATCACAATATGTGTACTAATTAGCCCAGTTTTGAGGAAACAACGTGTTGCTAGCACTATATAAGAAAGCTAGCATGGGGCTAGCTTGCACCTCGTCAGGATGGCCGAGCGGTCTAAGGCGCTGCGTTCAGGTCGCAGTCTCCCCTGGAGGCGTGGGTTCGAATCCCACTTCTGACAAGCACATTGTTTTTGACCATTTAACTTGACTGTAATGCTCATATTTACAATCTGCACTCATAGTTTGTAATTTTTTTAATGAACATTGCAAATAAACATTGCATGTTAGTAATCTTATACAATATAGTTATGTGGTTTATAGAGTTTTATAATCTTTTATCGGTTTTGGTTCTTAACTTTTTAATATGGTGTTTGATTGCAAAATCTGACCTTTTACAATTTGACTAAGGGTGCTTTCACACCTACACTTTTGTTTAGGAACCTGTCTCGTTTGCTTAGTTAGCGCTGTTCGTTTGGCATATGTGAAACCACCAATCGCTCTCGGATGTGCGCCAAATCAATCACTCTGAGATTGCTTGAATGAGGTGTTCTCGGCTTGATTGAAAAGAACTCTGGAGCGGATCGATTGCAGTGAGATAGCGATAGGATCCGAGCGCGATTATATCACTGTGATTTATGGATATGTAATAGGCATACGGCTATATAAAAAGAGAGAATTATGAGTAGGCCGGGAAGTTTGGCGAGTCTCCGGATGCCCGCAAAGGAGTGATAATCTCCCAGTAATCTCGCGTCTCCCTCCCGGTCCTCAAATAGGCTACGTCGCACACCCTTCTCACTCATCCCCAACGCATCTCTCCTCACTCTTCAGACACGTTGCGCGCACCTTGTCAAACACCACCAAACCACCACCTCTCATGACAGCTGAGCGGGACTCTGCAAAATAAACCCTGACACTCTGAGCAATGTGAGGAGAGTTTACTTGCACGTGACTTGTTTTGGCTCTTTTGGTCCGATTAGAAACTTTGCAGTGTGAAAGCGAACCGCTCCAAGAGCAAAGAGCAACAATGTAACATTTGTATTTTCTGTTTCAGAACAACTGAATCGATTCACAGGTGTGAAAGCACCCTAAAATATTCAGTTATTGTGTTGTTGCCAGGGGCGGACTTACTGTGTGTTCACACCGAAGGCGGTGAGAGCATCAAAGATTTGCATGTGTAGTACAGAAGGAACATGGTTTTGTAAAGTAACAACAGTAAAATAGCAGTGGTTATAGACTAATTTTACAACATATGATAGAAAATTTATCAAAGGGCTATATGATTAATATAGGCTTCTTGGCATTGGTCAGGGCCATCCTTTTCCCTGGGTCCCTGCTTACATCGCTTATTGGTCAAGTCCGCCTCTGGTTGTATACATATATATATATTTTCCCCCAATTTCTGTTTAAAGGAGAGATTTTTTCAACACATTTGCAAACATAATAGTTTTAATAACTCTTTTCTAATAAATGATTCATTTTATCTTTGTCATGATGACAGTAAATAATATTTGACTAGATATTTTCAAGACTAGGGGCTCAAGGAGCTAATAATTTTTGTCCTTATAATGGTGTTTAAAAAAAATTAAAAACTGCTTTTATTCTAACCGAAAATAAATAAATAAAAGACTTTCACCAGAAGAAAAAATATTATCAGACATACTATGAAAATGTCCTTGCTCTGTTAAACATAATTTGGGAAATATTTAAGAAAGAAAATTTAAAGGGGGGCTAATAATTCTGACTTTGTGTGTGTGTGTGTGTGTGTGTGTGTGTGTGTGTGTGTGTGTGTGTGTGTGTGTGTGTGTATAGTTAAATATTTCCTTTTACGATAAATAACTAGTATTTTAAATGTGTAACACCTGGTTTTATTGGATTTTTTTGCTGTTATATACTATAATTTATTTTTGTTCAGCACAGCATATTATGTGCAGTAAATAATGAACTGTACAATTATGTCTCATATGTTTCATTGACCGTTTTATGATGACTTGAATTTAAGTTGCTTCAATTTAAAAATGAAAATTGCAAAAATAGCTGAGATGTAGCTACGCTGCTATTGCTAAGTAGCTTTTAGCTTAGCTTGCTACATTTCATAGAGGGTAACTTTTAGCGTAGTTAAACTACATTTAAGTAGAGTAGCTAATAACTTAGCTCACTACTTTTTTAAAGTAGCTTGCCCAACACTGCTGATAACAATATTTATCACAATATGTGTACTAATTAGCCCAGTTTTGAGGAAACACTGTGCAACACGATGCTGGTACTATATAAAACAGCTAGCATGGAGCTAGCATGCAGCACGTCAGGATGGCCGAGCGGTCTAAGGCGCTGCGTTCAGGTCGCAGTCTCCCCTGGAGGCGTGGGTTCGAATCCCACTTCTGACAAGCACATTGTTTTTTACCATAAATCGAATGTAATACTCGTTTTTACAACCTGCAGTGATAGTTTGTACATTTTTTTAGCCAAGCTTAGCTATCATTTGATTTAGACTTGATATTTTAGGAGCAGTCATGGAAATTTTAATAAACATTGCCATTTAGTAATCTTGTACA